GACGAGTCCCTCAACATAAAACAGTCTGACCACTGGATGTTCCTGTTTCTGTCCTGACCTTGGGTTTGAGATCAGCATGGATGACCTTGATGCCAGCTGGGCAGGGGATTCGAAGGAGGACAGTTTAAGCAGAGGACCCTGGTTATAAAGCCTCATGTTCACAGATGGCCTTGGGACCCACATTAACTTCTGAAAGTGAGGCATCTCCCCGTGCTTGTCACATGTGCAGAGCCAGCGTCAGGGCTGGGGCTCAGCTGTGCCTCTTAGTGAATCCTTTGCTGCCCTGCCTATGGTCAGTCGGTCCTCCATGGCAGAGCGTACCGGATGCCTTCTTGTCCAAGCCCATGCTGGTGTGTGCTCTCCACCAGGCACTTGCAGGTGTGTCCCTTGGTCTGTTGAACCCCAACTCCATGTAGAGGAATCAGACACCTCCGAGGCTGTCGTGCATGTCCCGAACTGCCCGTGTGGGTGTGCAGCGCAGGCCCTTGGAGGTGATGATGGACAGAGGCTGGTTTACAGCTCAGGGTCATGGGTCCCAGAGCACATGTGGAGGGCCAATGGCATGTTTGTTCCTGCCTCGAGACTGTCCCTAACAAGTGTTCTGTTTTTACAGTCTGCAAGGGAAGCTCAAACAGGCTAGGGATGGAGCTGTGGGTTTCCGCTGCGCGATGCCAGTTCTGGGTGCTGCCTTTGGGATGTACCACAGACCTTTCAGGGGATTGCTGTGGACACACTTTCTTGCCTGGCCCCACGCAGGGTTTGCTCCCAGGCCCCACACCCCTCACATGTTGCAGAGAGGCTTGGTCACCATGGCTGTCCCACTCACTGATGGGCTAACCCAGGACATCGGGAGGAAGGCTGTGTCCTGGGTGAGAGGGTTGCAGCCCCCGTGTGGCCTCTGGGGAGACTGGGGGTAGGGTGGGAGCAGAGCTAAGGGAGACCGGCTGACCCCAGGAGTCCAAGCAAAGTCCCAGCCCATCATGCTTTACCATGCAGCTAAGGGCAAGACTTCCCTCCCTCCCGACTCCCCCCAACACCAGCCATGACTCCCCAGTGCTACAGAGCCAGCAAGGATTCCTCAGGCCCTGGCCCTCCCCACATGGTCCCAAGTGACACCCCGGGCTGCTCTTCCTACAGGAACATCCTCCAGGCAAACTGGCGCCCTGGCTGCACCCAGCAAGGCAGGGTCTCCCCCGCATCCTCTCAGCCTGAGGCCCGCCCCTGTCGCAGGCCAGCCCCCCTGCAGGCCTGGGCCCAGCAGACCCCGCACCCATGGGTATGGCTCCAGGACACTCTCTTGAAGGAGGGAAGGGCTTGCAGGGAGGCTTTGGCTCCAGGAGGGTCTGAAGGCTGCGAAGGAGAAAAGAAGATATGATGTGAGGGAAGGAAGGAGATAAAAAATGGGGCAAATCGGGAATTGCCAAAAAGGAAAAAAGAGAAACAGGCAGTATGTTCGTGACATTTAAGCGTTGTTTTCTCCAAGTGTCCCCCGCCCTTCCTCTCCGTTCAAGTGTCTTCTCAGGGATGCTTCTAATGGGCCTGAAGGATGCAGCCAGGTGGGCTAGGGCTGCGAGCCCCCAGGAGGGAGGGGAGGTCTGGGGCCTGCTACCAGCCCAGGCCGCTCAGAGACAAAGGACGGAGGCCCACCTTCGCTTGCCTGAACTCTGCTCACCGTGCGGTCACCCCACACCCAGGCTGACCCGTGGCCTGTGGAGTCCAAAGTGGGCTTGCTTGGGCTTGGCTACAAGGGCCCTGCACCCCTGGGTGCGCCCAGGAGCCTGGCAGGGATGTGCGTGGGCATGGACCCCCACATGCTTCTCAAAGTGAAACCCCCGAGACACCTCTTCTGTGAGGGGACCACGAACCCCCGAGGCTGCCCATTGGTCACCAGTGGTCAGCGAGAAGTTGCACTGGGGGTGGCCTGGTCCTCTGGAGGCTCCGAGAGGCTTCAGTAGAGGAGGGGCGGCCATGAGACTAAGGTGCGTTTGCTAATTTTACCATTTGGTTCTCAGATTCGGCTTGACCTCAGGGCAGAGTGAACTTGTTGGCGTAAATCTTGGTTAGAAATGTTCTGCACAAATTCAAACTGACACTGTTAGGGGAGATGGCTGGTTGCCATGGCAACCAGAGAGTGGTTTTCATTCCTCTCTGTGAGCCGCGGATGTGAGTGCACGGCTGGGACGGGTCGGGCGTCCGGCCTCCGGGGTTGGGCTGCACGCAGGCCGGAAATGCCACGGACGCCACCTCCGTCCAGCGCACACAGCCCCCACGAAACGGCCAGAAAGCGAGCAGCCCGAGGATCCCGGCAGTTTCCACGGAAGAGGCAGGTCCGCTGGTCTGAGACTCTGCAGCCCCGGGGCCGTCCTCAGTGAGCACTTGTGCATGAAGCTGCGGCCAGACTCACGGGAGGGAAGACGGCACCCCGTCCCCCTAAGCTGACCCCCAGCGCCTCATGTGACATGTCACCCCGTCCACCGTGAGGCCATCCGAAGGAGCTCAGCAGCGTCACCAGGCTGTTTCCTGGCCTCGCACAAGTGGCCTGCAGGTTCCCAAAGCCCCCCCCGACCCCCCGGGGCATGGGGACCAGGACCCCGGCCCTCCTGCCCGGCCCGATCCTCACCCCGGGGTTCCCCGCCCCAACGAGGCGGGACCCACGCCCCCAGCCCCGGCTGCCCCGGAGCACGTCCTGGCCACACACCCACGCCACCCCGGCCCCGCAGAGCCGTGGGTCATCCCGCTTCAGGAGCGACTCTCCCTCCAAGGGGCCGGATAAAGGGCTGAGAGGCTGCCAAGAGGGAGTCGGGTGGGGGGCACGCAGCGTACAGACCCTTGGTGGCGGGGAGTCCTGAACTCATAGAATGTTCCAGAAAGGGGCCTTTCCTGGGGCGAGGAAGAGGCTCAGTGCAGCGAGGGCTGAGAGCCTACCCGCTGAAGGAGACACCTGTTTTACCACAAAGAAGCCACACAGGTTTCAGGAGTGAGCTCTCGGTGACGGTGAGAGGCCTGTGCCTAGAAGACACATGTTTGGGGCATTAGAGACCATAAAGGGCGGGGATCCACTGAACCTGGCTCCGCGGTCGCTGAAAATTCTAGAAAGCAGGGGCTCCGCTCCTGGACGGCAGAGAAGCTCAGGGCACAGGGCAGAAGGTGGCCTGAGGCCCTAGGAGCAAACGAGGGCACGTCCCGAACACAAAGCATGGCACCCATGACTTCCAGGACGCGGACCCGTCCACGCAGGTCCCTCTGGGTCCTCTGCATGGAGGCTGTCGTGATAAGGAACGGGCCTGAGGCTCCTGCAGTGTCAGTGGCCGCGGGCACAGGGCCGGCCGACAGCGCCCTGCTCTCCCCGCCCTGGCTTTGCCCCTCGGACCCGGTGGCCAGCAAGGCAGCCAACAGCCTCGGTTTCCCCATCTCGCAGGTGTGCTGCTCTGCGACGCGTACAGAGCCCGGTCACCGTGCAGGGCTGTGTGAGGGCATCGCCGGGCCTGCGTCCCCTCTGTGGGCAGCCCTGCGCAGCTCCTGGGCACTGGGTAGCCAAGTCCGAGGAAGGGCTGGTGCAGCAGCACTGAGGGTGGCCCAGCTCCCCACTGATGGTCACAAAGCCCGAGGCCCACAGCCGTGGCTCCCAGGACGGCCTCTTCCTGAGGGACGCCCCGCCTCCAACCCTCGCCCAGGCTAACACTGGGATTCGGGGGCCAGCACCCAGGGGGTCAGGATGCAGCAGCCAGACAGGCCTCTCTGCCTGACGTGCCCCCTCGGAGGACCTCCCAAAGCACCCAAGAACCTTCCGTGCACCCCACCCAGCCCCCAGTGCCCCCCGAAGCACCCAGGGACCCTCCATGTGCCCCACCTGGACCCCTGGTGAGTCTGAAGCTTGATTAGCCTTTGCCTTTAGAGCCCGTGGGCCCCGGCCCTGGGCATACAGGGTGGGACAAGGCCTGGGCTAGGAGGGGCTCCTCCAGGCCACCCCAAGCCAGGCCAGTGCCCCCCAACCCTGCCACCCCTCTGCATTCCTACAGCATCTCCTGTAAGTTCTCCCAGAAGCCACCTCTGGTCCCGGCCCCCACCAGCTCTGAGGCCAGGGCGGGTCCCTATTCTCCAGCCAGGGCACAGGGACAGTGCAGGAGGCAGGGCACAGGACAGAGGGACAGCCCCCCACAGGGCCTCTTCCTTGTGCCCTCCTGCCACCTGGGCGCCTGGGCCCCGTGATGGGTTGCTCACACCTGCCTTTCTGTCGCCTCTGGTCTGGGAGCCCCTGACCCGTGCTCACCTGAGCCCCGTCCCCGGACAGTCTGTGGAGGCGGCTGCACTGGGCACAAGCCCTGTGGGGACCACCGCAGCCTGGGGAAGTCTGAGCAAAAGGCCCCCCGATCCAGGGCGGGCCTTCCCACCTCCTCCACTGCCCCACTTGTCCAGGACCATCAACCCGGGCCCCCAGGGAGCTCCACGGCGCCCTCCAGCCCTGAGGGAGCCACCCCAGGACACCAGGTGGGCCGGGCCTGGGCGTGAGGGCCTCCACTCAGCTCTGACACCAGTCACTGGGCGACTGGAAAACCCCTTCACCCCTCGGGGTTTCCTGTCCCTCAGCTGAGGTTCAGGACCCATCACAGCGTCCCCCAGCGGTGCAACGGGGATGCCGGGAGCGATGCAGACAGGATGCTGGGAATATTGGTGGGATGAGGGCCGGGGGCAGGGGAAGGCCCCACCCAGAGGCCTGCTGGCCAGGCCGCGGCCCACACGCCCCGCAGGCAGGGTCCCGCTGTGCACCATCCTCCTGTCCTCCCTCCTCTCCACACATGTGCCTTCCTTCCTGTGCCCTGTCATCTCCAGCTCTAACGCCCGGGCTGGGGGCTGGGACCCTGGGCTGGGCAGGGGTGTGGGGGCCTCTTTCTGCACAGCTGAGGCCTGTCTACACTGGCAGGATCACACTGCTGACTCATGCTGGCGTGGACTCGTGGGTTCACCACGGTGTGGCCATATTTGGATTTGAGAATATTTTAATATGAGGACTGAAAATTCCTCCAAAATCAATTTCCTTGTCTGTATTTCTGTTCTCAGAGCCCCGGTGGACAGGGGTTCCCGTAATAAAAAAATAACATCGCGCTGTCCTCCTTCTGCCTCTTCAGGGAGACGTTTTGCTGTGAGTTGTCCGATTCTCTTGGAAGCGAAGGCAAAACCGCCGGTTGTCTCTTTAAATCGGCTCTGCGGTGTGATGGGGCCCGCGGTCTGGCTGGGAAGAACCATTCCCACCCTGCCGCAGGGAGCTGGCCGCCGCCATCAGCGCCTCCCCCATCCCCATGGTTACGGCTCCTGCTTCCCGACCGTCCCTGGTCCCTGGCCGTCGCCCGCCCGAGGGAGCAGGCACTCCCCACCGGAGTCCGGGAAGCCGCCTGCTGAGAACGGCAGTGACTGCCTGCCCCTCCGGCTCTGACACCCTCCCCGGTGCAGAGCCCTGGCCGTCGCTGGGCTGCAGGCTTGCAATCTGTTGATAACTCCACTCGCGAGCTCCAGCGCTGCCCCTGGGGTGGAAAACTGCTCCCGGACCCGGGAACTCACCGCCTCTCGCCAACAGGAAGCGCAGGACCGCTGCCACTCCTGCTGTTTTTGCCAAAATAGGTGAGAAGTTGGGCTGCGTTTCTCCAGGGTCCGCGCGGCAGGTGGGCCCCCCCGGGCGAGGAGGCAGTGGGACTTGGGGGGGAGGCGAGGTCGGAGCCCGGTGGCCGCAGCATACACTGCCCCGGCCGCTTCCTGGGCATCAGCGCCGACCAGGAGTGAGCAGTTCCTGCTCTTCCAAATGCAGCTTCTCAACAACTTTGGGTTACACAGACGGCACGGAGCCACCAGATAAACTGATCTGTGTGGGAGACGCCAGCCCGTGAGGTCTGGCCACGTCTGGGCGGCGGAAGCTTCGCCCTCCCAGGTCTGGCTGTCCGTTGGGGGTTATTGGAGTCTCTTGACTTAAACTGACAGACATGCTGTACGTGTCTTCTGCAGCCTGAGGTTGGGCTGAGTGTCTCGCGCTGGGATGGCGAGCGGAGGTTGGTTTTTAAATATGGATAAGGAAGTGCTCCCCGGGGGCACCGTCCCTCTAAGGCTCTGAGGTCCCAGGTCGTCCCCGGAGCCTCTGCCTGACTCGGGTACCCCAAGCCAGACACTCCAACAGGCTGGCTGGGTCAGAGGGAGATGAGATGGGGGCAGACTTCGGAAACAGCTGCTGCCGGCTGCAGCCGGGGGGTTGCCCCGTGGGTGGGGTGCTAGATGCAGGTGGCAGGGAGGACCCCCACCCGCCCTGACCTGCCCTGTCTTCGCAGATGGGGGCAGCCTCTCCACCCTCACCCGCCCCATCACGGTCGCCCAGGGCTCTACCCCGTGGCCGCTGCCTGGGACCTTGACCTTCTGGACGGCCATGGAGGCCGGCGGGGAGAACGGTGCGACGTAATCGGCTGTGCCGTTGGCACCACCTCCGTCCCCTGCTCACACTTCAGTAACTTCGCTGTGCTCATGGTGAGTACACGCGGGGGCCGGTGGGGGGGGCGGGCAGGCTGAGGCTGCCACCGCCACTCACGGATCCCCAGGCAGGGAGAGTAAGCTGCCTCGTGGTCAGCCGGGGCGGTGGGCGCATGCTGGCCCTGCGGCCAGGGGCCCTGGGGGCGGGGCCGGGCGGGAGGGGGGCCTCGGGCTGCCTGCTCCGCTGCTCGTCAGCGGCTGCTCTGCGTAGATCATACTAATTAGTGGCAGACGTGCTGCAGTGTTGAATCACTGAATCGGTGGAAGAGACAGTGTCCCACCACCACCCAGGCTCGACCATGACCTGTGAAAACCTCTCTGACCCCGGGCTGGGGCCCTCCCTCGCCCGGCCCTGGCCCTGCACACGGCCCTCCTGCTGCAGCCCTGCCGGCCTCCTTCCCATCAGAAAGTTGGCCGAATGGCAGGGGATGCGGGTGGGCTTCAGCGGCGCTCTCGGCAAGCACAGAGAACGCCTCTCTCACCAGAAAAGGGGGTGCGGCCGGCTGTGTGGGGCTCGGCCTGCAGGCTCGGGGCGCTTCCCTGTGGTTCCTGCTGTTTGGATTCCGGAAAGGGTGATGCTGAGTGAATAATGCATTGTGCCTGCTTGTGAGGGACAGCAGCGGAGCGCACGCAGAGAACACCGCTGGCCGAGGACAGCGTGGCACAGGGGCCGAGGCTCGGACACTGTCATGGGTCGTCAGTGCAGACCTGACTCTTCACAAGCAGGGCTGTGTCTGAGTCACTTGCTCATTTTCTTCCTGTTGGATTCGAAATGTCCAAACAAGAGAGATGCTTTTTGCCAAAGGTCGGCATCAGCTCGCAGAGCTGCCATGCCACCTGCCTCTCAGGCGTCTGAGGGTGTGTGCTCCAGGCGCAGCCGGGCCCGCACCCCAGCTCTGAGCCGTCACCTGTTGCCTGCAGGCACCAGCCCCCAACAAGCCAGGGCCTCCGGGTTGGCCGTGTTTGAAGCTTTGCATCCTCGAATTTATATCCTCATTTGCAAAATGGGTCCTGTCACTGGCAGATGAAGGGTGAACGGGGGAGGGGGGGCAGCACCGCCCCGGGGCGCCACCGCACGTGATCCAGGTGCCCCAGCGTCAGGCCCCATCTTCGCCTCTGTCTCTGACCCTCCAGCCCTTCTGTGCAAATCTGCAGGGCTGCCCAGGCCACCCAGCACCCTCCTTCCTTCCTCCAAGTCCATCCACACCCTCCCCCAAGCCCCAGCCAGCTCCACGCCGGCCAGTCCAGGACTCTGGGAACCAGCTGGATTTCCCTTGCCTGGAGAGCTTGGAATCTCAGCAGTTTGTTGGGGTTTTATTGCTAACAAATAACATTTACACCGGAGAGAGCTTCTGAGAGGAACAGAGATGCCAACCTAACGTGTGGTGCTGCAGGTCTGCTGCAAGCACTTTCCTGCCTGTGTCTGGGAGCCTGTGGGTGAGACGCCTGCGGCCCCTGGGGGCCGTGGGGAGGAAAGCCAGCAGGGGCGGCTCCAGCCCCGTGCCCCAGGATGCCACGCTCCGGCCACCTGCTCGGGCCTGGCCCTGGCAGTCAGCTGCCCGACCAGCTCCTGAGTGTAACGCCACCGAGGTGTCCTGGAGGCACCTGGAGGTGTCGAGCTGCCCACGACCCCGGTTTGAACCGTGCTGAGCCCTGAGCATCTTCGGGCACCTGTGCCTCCTTCTGAGCGAGTTGCCTGTGTGCCCTCGGCACCAACAGGTTGGTGAACACCCAGGTGCTCCCCTGGGGGCTGAGGGGCTGGGGGACCTGCACCCTGCCGCCTGGTCTCCAGCCGGTAAAGCCCAGGCCCCACACCTGCCCGGCGCTGACCCTCATCAGAGTGTAAAGCAGGACCTGACTGCACGGCTGCCTCTGCGATGGTGCTGTTGATACTCGAATTCAAGAAGGTCCCCAAGCGCGTGCGGCTCTGCCCTCGTGCTCCTCTCTGATCCTCACCGTTAGCGCAGACAGCAGCGCCCTCCAAGGGAGCAAAGTGATGGGTCTGGAACTGGAGTGGAAACCGTCCAAGCCCGGGCACTCTTTCCTTCCTGAGTGTGGTCCCGCGGGCGGTGCTGGCCCCGCCGCTGTTCTCCGGCCATACCTGTCGCGGGGGATTAGCTGGGAGGCAGGACTGGTGCACATGGCCTCCCCGCAGCCCCTGTGGCCTCAAGTGGGGCCCAGAGGGTGAGCCCAGCCGCTCACCGATGTGGCGGCCTGAGTGCCACGGAGACCTGCTTGGCAATGGCGCCTCAGCGTGGCCCGGGCCCAGGAGGCGGCCGCAGTGGCAGCACCGCTGGCTTCGAGTCGGGGTGACCTTCGCCAGGTCCTGCAGGGCCTGGAGCTGGGACAGGGTGAGAGGCCAGGCCATCCCAAGGGCAAACGCCACGCAGGACGCCCCTGTCCACACAGAAGCACCCGCGTTCCAACAAGAAGGGTGGAAGTAAAGCCCCAGAGAGACCAGGGTGGATGCAGGGCGGGGCCCAGGAAGCCGGTGTATCAGCAGGAGGCGGGAGCCCTCAGGGCGCCCATGGGCTCCCTCTGAGCCCTTGGAACCCAGGCCACACCTGTGGGTGGGTTCCCACTCCGATGCTCCAGCCTCAGAGCTTCAGTGAGTTCCTCCAGTTCGGAGCTTCAGTGAGTTCCTCCAGTTCGCTGCTTTCGACTCAGTCCAATATTTAAATTTCTAACAACTCAGAAAACCTGCCTTAGGCTCACAGAGTTTGTCGCCCACCTCAGGCCTCCCCTTACTGTTGACGGTTTTAAGCAAGTAACTCCAGTCCTGAAGGAAAGCCCGTCGTATTTCTCAAGGTCTTTTCTCCAAAGTTCTTCATAATTAGACCAGCCCACGCACCCTCAAAGGAAGATGCTACAAACCACACAAATGCCCAGTTGGGCCAACCTGTGCTCCCAACGCAGAGATGGCTCATCTGCGTCTGCCTCTCCCCCGGGACTCCCTCAGGGAAGGCTGACAGACCAGCAGGGTCGCCACTAAAAAGCAGACGAGGGGCCGCAGGCTCCACAGAGCTCAGTCTTGGTCGGGACAAGCCCGGGTGGAAGGACCTGCCCACCCTAGACCCCCAAAGGCCCAGCCTTGATGCCTGGCCATGCGGGAGGGACACCCGTACACGGTCTGCACCGCGGCCCGGAGAGGCCCATTTGCCGCTTTTGATCAGACAAGCGACCCCTGACCTGACCTCTTCCCTCCTTTCTTCTTGTCTTTCTTAACATCCCAATTTGTTTGATTGCAAAACATACCAAAAAGGACACATCCAACTAAGATCATGATGAGGTGTAACGGAAAAGGGGAAATACAAACCAGGCAGCACGGGGACTGCCGCCCTGGGACCGTTGCCCGGAGCCTGAAGGCGCCACGGGGAAGCAGGAGCCCGGGGTCCCCGGAGGAGACACACCTTGGCTGTAGCTTCCACGGCAGCCCCGCCGGTCGCCCTGCAGCACAGACGTGAGCGGGAATTGCGGGCTTCAGCCCCGCAGCTGGGCGGCTCCCGGCACGCGGTGTGTGGCCTCGTCCTCTGGGCGTTGCCTTCGCCTCCCCTCTTCCTCCGTGGGTTCTCTGGACCTCTCTCCAGCCTCTCTGCTCTGAGGTCAACGCTGCATCCATTGTCGCTGGTCCCCAGAGCACCGCTGGGTCCACGGCCTCTGAGGGACTTGCCCATCCAATGCTGTCTGACCACATACTGGACCATCGTAAGGGTTTTGCCCGTGGAACACTCGCAGAGTAGCTTCTTCCAAGAGGAACGTGTACATGTGTGAACTTTAAAATATAAACTCCAGCGCCATTTTGCATTACTTACTTTGAATTTTAAATGTCACCTCTAAAAATGTAGAAAGCACTGTTGATAACTCTGATTTAGAGAAAGGAAAAAAAATAGGAGGCCAAGTGGAATTAAATCTCTGTTTCTCCTAAATCATATATTGTGGATGCAGCTTCTGCGGGGTCGGAGACCCCCCTCACCACTGTGAGGAGCCTCAAATCTGGGCCCTCGGACGAGAGGGAAGGGGTCCAAAGGCGGGTGACCTCCGGGCAGTGTGACCTCCGGGCTGGTCCCATGACAGGCTGGGCGTCGTCCTCAGGAAATGCCTCTGGGTCTTGAACGGATGCTCTGAGATGTCTTCCTGCTGCAGGAAAACCAATTCTGGCTCTTACTAGGCTTAACATAAAGGGGTTTTGCGTGTGTGAATAGAAACTGGCAGATACGATGCTTCTGGAGGTAAGCTCTCCGCCGCAGGCCCGGGAGCTGCATGGGCTCCCCCGTCGTGCGTCACATGCACCTGCGGCCCTCGGCCCCAGGGCACCAGGCCGTTGCTGTGGCCGCTGCGTCAGGAAGCAAGTGCTAGCTCTGTGAACCCCCCTCCTCCGCCATCCCTCCCCCAACCCCAGAAAGAGTCAGGGGTCTGACCTCAGTCTTTAGGGGCAGCAGTGCAGGTGACAGCACCCAGAAAAGGTGGGGAAGGGCCTTGTAAGCCCCCCAGAGGGGGTGGGCCCACCCCGGGTCCCTCAGCTCCAGGAGACACCAGGACACACGGGTCCCGATTGAGTCAGTGAGAGAACCAGACGGGCCAGACCCGGAGCGGCTCTTGCCTGTGGACATGAAACCAGTAACAGAGGCCCAGGTGCACTTTTGTGAAGGGTCAGGGGGTGTCAGCCCCGGCTGATGTCACAGGAGGGACACACCATCGTCTCCCATGAAAAGGACGACACACACAGGCCCAGGGACGCTGCCAGTGCCCGGTCAGACCTGAATCCAACACTCCTGGCTGATGACTCTCAATGAAAAGATCATCCAATATCAGGACTTGCCCAGGAAAACCTGCCTTTCCTTGACGTTCGCAGTGAGTTGCATCTGGCAGGAGGCCGGTGCCCGCGGAGCCTGACAAATGCAGAAACACCCTGGGACTACGGGGCCTCGTGAGCCCCCTTCCCGCCATCGCCTGACGCCAAATGCTCCAGAATTCGGGACGCGTGAGGGCCCCTGGCAGGCGGGACGCTGTGGGACGCGGGACGCTAGGGCCCCTGGCAGGCAGGACGCTGTGGGAGGCGGGACGCTAGGACCCCTGGCAGGCAGGACGCTGTGGGAGGCGGGACGCTAGGGCCCCTGGCAGGCGGGACGCTGTGGGAGGCGGGACGCTAGGACCCCTGGCAGGCGGGATGCTAGTGGGAGGCAGGACGCTAGGGCCCCTGGCAGGAGGGACGCTGTGGGAGGCGGGACGCTGTGGGAGGCAGGACGCTAGGGCCCCTGGCAGGCGGGACGCTAGTGGGAG